TTTCAAATCGATTAAGCATTGCAAAGAGAAGACAGAACGGTAAATGAACACTAGAACCGCCAAGGGATTCATTTTGACTAACCCTGATACTGACGGGCTGTCAGGAGAGGGAGAGAGAGAGAGGAAAAGAGATGCCTCGTTTATTTCCCCTGTGTTATTATCAGAAGTTACTGTAAACTGTTGAATCATGTAGTTCATCTACTTTTAGTAGTTTGTTTAAATGTTTTAATTATGTTGTTTTTGTTTGTAGAAGTGCATCATTCCTTGATTTATTGTAAAATGAATCTGAACTTTTTGATCTGTTATGATGATAAACTGAAGCAATTTCTAAATTAACCCAATTAAGTGAGTTTTAAATCGTCCTACTTAGTTCATAAGGAAATTATGTTGTATGTACGCTGTTGGCGGTTCTAGTGTTAACAGAAATTTAAATTAAATATGTGTAATGGCAAATGCCATATATCATTTTCTTACCTGGAATTCTGCCTTTTTGAACAGACTTTTTGATTGAGTCCTAGCTATATTGTCTGCAGTTCTAGGGTTAATATTGATCTAATATGATTGTCATCGGTCTAAATTAGATTTCAAATGATTAACTGTGTATGTAATGAAGATCATAGTGTGGGTTAAATCCATTTTCATAACCACTGTCTTTTAACTGATTTAAATGCGGAAACTGGGCTTATTCATCAGAATTTCGTATGACTTGACTTGACTTGCTTGACCTGAGCAATGACTTGACTTGACTTGCTTGACTCTCACCACAGTGACTTGGGACTTGCTTGATACTTGTAGGTCAAGACTTGAGACTTGCTCATGACTTGCACATGTAGGACTTACTCCCACCTCTGGCCTACACAAATACTTCATCACTGCACCACTCTATAGTAACGTGTTAGGAGATAAAACATGGTTTAGTTCAACTAAATTACATCACTGCCCAGTCCTTTTCTGATTGGCTGCTTTAGAGCTCTGTATTATATAAATCTGTTTACATTTATCAACATTATTTGGTTTGTTATATATTTTTCAGCTTCAATCTCAGCAAGTCAAAGCACGGATGCAGTCCATGGTAACAGCAGCCCATAATAACACTGTGTGACCGTCTGATGAGGGGGAATCGGAGACAGTTAAAAAAGGTAATCCTAAAAACCACTGAGGATATCAGGATTAGGACAGGAACTTGGAAAAAACAAAATAACAAAGTATAACAGTTTGGATTAAAAATGACAAATAAATACAAAACCACAGACTGTAACTGTTGAACAGATCGAGTCGTCTGATTTGGCACAAGAAAAAGTTCAATCAAATTCAGAAACTGTAAGGCAAAATACTGATGACAGTCCAGTGTGACCGAACCGGCTCTGATGTGATAGAACCAGCTAGAACCGGTTTTAACCAGCTATCGAAACTACAAGTTACTGCACTTGGTAACGTTACCGGCTCCAACGAGTAAATAAAACAGGCTTTATCCGGCTCAGTTTACAGGCAGTCTTAACTAGAGATTTGGAGGTCATGTTTTTTTAAATTCAATATATATGGTTGGATAATAAGTCTAAGAAGTCAGCTAAGTAAACAATATAATGTAGGGAAATTATACACCTCACATAAATGAGTTTAGCATTAGAGTAGTAGGCTACAAGTAAAAGTAAAGTCATGCCAATCTCTCACAAGGCCATTGGTCTGAAAGCATTTCCTTATAAAACCCTGCATGTTATCCCGAATCTGGAAACCCACTGCGAGTCAATTGGTCGGGAATTACATTGTGGAGTCTGTTGATTTAACACCTTTAAAAAAATCAATTAATAATGTTCATCTCTAGTTATAGCTGGCTCAAACTGGTTTATGAGACTGCAACTGGCTATAAACTGGTATCCAGCCCAAAGTAACAATAAGTAGAAATACTGAAAAAACATAATCTAATATATTAGCCAACAACTTCACTGAATACTGTATGGTTCTGAATTTTGGCACATAAAGAGAAAAGTGCACACTGGACTGGTACAACACACTGTTCAATTGTATCATTCACACACTGGTCAGAACCGGTCAGAACCAGTCTGCAAAAATATCTGAAAACAGAAAGGAAATCAAAGAAAAATAATCAACAACTGCTCAACACGAGTCACTCAGATTGAATTTTTTAAACATTTTTCATCACATCAAGAAGACAACTGGTGATGATGGGAACTAAGGCTGAGTTACTGGCCAATTCCTTCCATTCCCCGTGAGGGAGGAGAGAACACACCACTGCTTTAGTCTGCTTTACACGCCAAAAACACGCTAAAAATACACTGCGACAACCAGAGCCACGTTCACACTGAGCACCATGTTAGTGACAGAGCTGTGAAGGTAAAGAAAGAGTTCAACGGTTTTAGAAATCCAGTTTTTAAAACATTTTCAGTTTCATCTCTGCATGTCCAGGATGTGGTTAGCCTAGCTTAGCACAAATACTAGAAGCAGGGGGAAACGGATAGTCTAGTTTAGCACAAAAACTAGTAGCAATGCGGAACTGCTAGCCTCGCTTGGACAAACTGCTAGCCTAGCTTAGCACCAAAGACCTGAAGCAGGGGGGAAACTGCTAGCTTAGCACCAAAGACTTGAAGCAGGGGGAAACAGATAGCCTAGCTTAGACTTGGAGGAAGGGAAATGCTAGCCTAGCTCAGCAAAACAATTTCCAAGCTTAGAAGAAGCAGGGGAAAAGTGCTAGCCTAGCTTAGCACGAAGACCAGAAACAGGAGAAAACTCTTACCCTAGCTTAGCATAAAGACTATAAGCGGGGGAAAGTGATAGCCTAGATAGGCACGAAGACCAGAAGCAGGAGAAAACCTTTAGCATAGCTTAGCAACAAGACTAGAAGCAGGGAGAACCTGATATTCATTTGAAATACAAAGATTGAGAGGATTTAATAAAATGTTGATTGTTTCTCTAAGCTTCACCCTGTTAGCCGTTAGTCTAAATGATGGAGCCAACATGGCCGCAGCTGAAACCCAAACAGTTTGATTGGCTCTGGCTGTGTTGAGGGACGGCGAGTTTTAACCTTTACATAGTCACATGACCGGGGAGGTCACAGGAGAATAAATTATATTTACAAAATCTTTACTCTTTGTTTTCTTCTTGCATCAACTTGCATCAAGCAAACATCAAACACAACCCAGACTCATAAACACCGAAATATCCAACAAGAAGTCTGTTCACTTCATCATAGCATCAGAATAACAATAATAATATTAATAATATTTTCACTATCAAAACACTTTGTCCAAAAGGTGTTTATAGAGACAGAGAGAGAGAGGCTCCATCTAATAGCTGGATTAATTCCCAACATCCAGGAAACAGACACCACCGAGTCCATCTGACAACATGAAGGTGTACAGTCCAGCTGGTTCCTCTTCATGTATCCATCTTAAAAAAACTATTTTTCAAACTTTATACATCCATCTTTTAAAAAAAAAAACCTTCACCACCACCATCATCATCATCATCATCTTGGGCTGAGATCACCAGTGTCCTTTAGAGGCCTTGTATCTAACAATCATTTTCATTTTCAGCTATTTAATTATCTTCTCAATTAATCATAGGTTGTCTGGTCTATAGAATATGTCTCCAAAGTGACGTCTTCAAATGTTTTCAGATTCTCTTAATATGGTGGTTATCAGCTTATATATTTTATATTTTATTTAATATAATGGTGAATATCTTTGGACTGACGAAAAATAAAACATATAAAAGACATCATTTTGGATTTTCTGACATATTATAGACCAAACAATCCATATTAATTGAGAAAATAATCGGCATAATTATTAACAATGAAAATAGTGGTTCACAGTCTCCGAAGGTTTGCACAAAATAATGAAAAACTGAATAAATGAAATCAAAATATTTACGTTTTTGGACTCTTTAAATTCTTGTTTCTCTGCTTCATGATTTTTTTTTTGTGATCTGAAAACATGGCGATTTCTTGAGGACCCCGATGAACCACCTCAGTGATTTTATAAAAATCTGCAGTACCGAACTTCACCAGCAGAAGGCAGAGAGGCTTCAGGTAAAATGAGTCCACCACTTGGAGCCAAGGCTGCTGGGAAATGTAGTTTACCTCCGGACAATCTGCAGTACCGAACTTCACCAGCAGAAGGCAGAGAGGCTTCAGGTAAAATGAGTCCACCACTTGGAGCCAAGGCTGCTGGGAAATGTAGTTTACCTCCGGACAATCTGCAGTACCGAACTTCACCAGCAGAAGGCAGAGAGGCTTCAGGTAAAATGAGTCCACCACTTGGAGCCAAGGCTGCTGGTAAATGTAGTTTACCTCCGGACAGGTGATTCGGTAGGCAGGTTTGGATTTGTCAGACAGCAGCAGTGAAGTTTAAAAGTCAAAATACAGGAGTTGATCTTCAGGGGCAAATTTTGGGGTTAAAAAATCAAAAGTCTTTTAAGTTCATTTAAAGAGGACACATCAGTCTTTTTCTTCTTTTGTTTTTTAAAAATCTCACAGCGTTTCCTCCTTTTGACAGTCTATCAACTTCCTGCTGACACATATCTTTTAAAAAACAGGGAAAAATCTCTTCTTTAATCTCTTCTTCGTGGCTGCATCATGTCTGGTAGAAGATCCACTCCTAAACCCTCAGCTGGGATTTTAAATCTGTTGTCCATTTTGACTCTGAAATGCTTTTTGATGTGCTTGTTTAATCCATTCCACTCGGGTCAGATTAAATGAAGGTTGCTGCTTTTTGTCGTAACACACCTGTTTGCTTGTTGATATCAGAAACAATCTGAACACTGATATTGGAAGATTCTGCAAAACACCAGATTCACTTCCAACAATAATGTTTTAACACTTCTAATTTTTTACTAAATCTGTGAGCCAACAAGCACCAGACGGTGGTTGAAGTTACATCGTTGGCGTTGGATGTAAAACTGGAGGTGCAGCATTGTCCAAAATGAGTGTGAATCATAGGGACACTGAGCTGGACTGCACTCAGGGGAACATTCACAAAGGATTGCAAAGCTTCTGCAGCCAAATCCCTAAACCTGCATGAATATAACAATAAGAAACTGCTTATTTCTCAAAGCGCCAACAAAAGGTTAAATGCATTCCTAATTGCTCTTCCAAGACAATTGCTTCTCCGTTCTCCTGTGGTATTTGCACGTTTTTAAATCAGGGAATTTGCTGGGATTTGGCATTAAATTGAGCATCGTGCAAAAACAGTCCGAATCACAATGTTTAGCGGTAACAGCCACACGCAGTTACAGTGAAATTATTAGTGTCTTCAGAGAGTTTGTGTTACTTGAAGCACATTTATACTCACAGACAAGGATAGTAGTTTAAAGCTGCAAATCTCAAAGGGTGTTTGCATTTTAACATAATTAGGGCATTATCTGTTGTGAACCGGATCTTGGGACGGCGCAAATACAGGTTGCTAATGCTGCACAATTCATGAAACTAAAAGAAGCTCCAATCCAGTTATTGTGAATTCACCAGTGTCTCAGTTTGTCCAATCTGAATCCCTTAATGTTGCAGATCTGCTTTGTGTTTCCGAGCTTCTGTAAATCTAGTGTCTTCATACAAGATCACTTTTTACTGGTCTGTGCAGAAAACTGAAAATTGTTGAAATAATTGAATATTCTTGCACTGACAGATAACGTATCAGTAATAATAACTGGAGTTTTAGATCTGCCGGTTTTGTTATTAAAACCCTCTACGTGTTGTGTGACTCCTTGATGGTTGTTGCTGCTGTATTAAAGTGGAAAAAACAACGTGATTTAACCACTAAGTTAACACCTGTTGATCTTCTGAACACTGGATCAGTGGAAACCATAAGGTAAAATGTTTATAACAGCAGCTGATGAATGTGCTTCATGTTCCAGGAAATCCGTCCAATCAGAGAGCTCTTTACTCTTTTTTTGTGTGTTTGAGACCAAACTGAGGGGATGAAAAACACAGTGGTTCCCATGATTCCTGCGGGAGAAGAGGCTCCGCCCACATCACTGCCTCACGAAAAAAGTTGAAGAAGAAGAGACGCCATCATGCAGTGTGTGTGTGTGTGTGTGTGTGTAAATATCAGCTACTGGTTTTGTAATGGTTTCCAACAGGGACCAATATTAATCATCGTTGCCATTTTTTTCTCTCGTCCAATAGAATCACGTGTTCTCGTCCTCTGCTACGGTCGCAAGCTCCTCCCCCTCCTCCTCCACGCTCTCCACGATTGGCCGATGCACCTGAGGCTCCTCCCCTCTCCCGGCGCGCAGCAGGACGTCGATCCACCGTCGCTGCAGCTCCTCACAGTCGGCGCTGAAGAACAGCGTCAGGTGACTCTGGGAGATCTTGAAGGCGTGGCGGCGCTCGAGGCGGTCACATGACTCGGGGAGGGAGACCTCGAAGCCAATCAGAGGAACGCTGCGCTGCGCCTTCACATCCTGGAGCGGAGATATGATCAATACTGTCAGTTATCTGTTCATATTGCATCATGGGTACAAAGGCTGCTTTCCAAACTGTGTGGATTTAATTTTTACTTTCATTACCTAAATGAAATTCTGCCAGGGACCCCGCCTTTAATTTGACATATTTTTGAGCCTCAATGTAATATTCACTTTTGTTCACATTTCTAGAAAGGGCATTTGTGCTGCATTCATGTGATATCGGAATAAGTTTTCACATTAACCCCCCCTCGGGTAAAAAAACGTAAACTACATTTTTTAGCTGAACTTTATTTATTTGCCTTTCTTCATTACATTTGTGCAATACTGTCACTTATGGCGCATTTCCACTACAGCGCGGAGCTCGCTTTAAGCGTGCCGTGTCGTGCCGTGCCCGTTTTTGGTTGCGTTTCCACTAGGCCTAGTTCCGCCTTTTGTCGAGTTTCTGAACAGATATGAGGAGCTGTGAGCTCTGAGTGCTAACAGCTAACGGCTGTGTTGTATTTCTGGGGTTCTCATTGAAGATGACGTCACGGCTCCGCCTACACTGCGTTACTATAGTAACTACCCCAGTTCCTAAACTGTAATGGAAGCGCAGCATGAAGTGAGTCGGCCCTGTTAAGGCCCAACGCGGCCAAGCCGTACCGAGCCGTACCGAGCGTGGCCGAGGCCGACCGTGTGGTGGAAATGCGCCATTACTTTCCCACACAATGCTCATTATTTTATATTTGTATATACAGTATACTTATGTCTCTACTTATTTTATCAAACAACTCCGGTACCTTAAAGGTAGGGTAGGTAAGAATGGAGAAACCAGCTCGAGTGCGCTAGAATTTGAAAGTACGCAGCCGAAAAAAATCTGCCTCTTCCTTCAGACTTCCTTACAGAGCCCCTCCTCCAACACACACGAACGCGCACATGACCAATGAGGGCACGAGATAAGTTTGTGCACAGATGGAAGGCTGACAGGCAGGTAGGCCATCCAGTTATTTTAGCCGGGCCGGCTCAGATGATTGGTCGTGCTTTTTACAGTACTACGGCTTCCACAGATGACATTTTTTTATGTATTTATTGTCAAAGCATTTAATGTATTCATTGCTATCGGGATGTTAAGAGCATTCCATGGAATATAACAAAAAGTGTTTCTGAAGGGAATTACCTACCCCACCTTTAACTTTTTACTGTCTTTCCTTATTATTGTCATTTTTTCATTCTTCTAGTGATCTAGTAAAAGCAAGTTGTGACTTTGCTACGGAGCAGATCCTTTTCCTAGTCAATCATTTTGTTAAACCTAACATGACCCTGTGTGAACATACACATGACCTATAACCTGAAACTGAAACCAGAAAGACTTCCCAATTTGGGAAATAGGACCATCCAAGAAGCACCTGAATGCACCGTCGGCTTACCAGGAGATCTCTGTAAATAATATGTATGTGTATTACATATTTTATATATATATTAAAGGTACCTGTGGAGCTCCGTAGATGTAGAGCACCAGCGGCTCGTTCTCCGGGACGACGAACCAGGCTTTCTGCCAGCCGCGCCCACTCCCTTTCTCCATGTGGTGCAAAAAACTACAAATCACACTGTGCTCCGCTGCCAGGGAGGCCTGTTTCTATAGCAACAAGGGACAGAGATATAAAGAGGGTCAGTGTTTCTGCAGGAAGGAGAGGAAATGTTCAACAAGCAGATCATTTATATATATATATATATATATATATATATATATATAATAACTTGCTTTATATTTTGTTACTGTAAATTTGTAATTCAACATGTATATTTTCTACTTTCTTGTTTATTTCTTTAAATTGTTATTGTACAATGCCATGTCTTTTTATGCTGCTGCAACACAAACATTTCCCAAATTGGGATCAATAAAGTACTTCTTATCTTGTCTTATCTTATTTTCTGAGTAGTTTTCTGCACTGACCTCCAGGATGGAGCGCCTCCTCTGGCTGCTGCTGCTCAGCAGGGCGGGCGATGGCGACGCCTCCACCAGCATGGCGTGGCAGTCGATGCAAACACGGTTGGTGCGGTTATTGTCGTACGAAAGGCGAGCACGAAACTCTGAACATTTCCCACAAACCACCTGGAGGCAAAAAAACAGTCAGTCAGATGTGTGTAGTCTTAAAGGGGCCCTCTCCTGCTGATGTTCAGGTGTATATCAGTATGTAGTGTCTCTACTTTAAAGAGTCCTCTCCTGCTGATGTTCAGGTGTATATCAGTATGTAGTGTCTCTACTTTAAAGAGTCCTCTCCTGATGATGTTCAGGTGTATATCAGTAGGTAGTGTCTCTACTTTAAAGAGTCCTCTCCTGCTGATGTTCAGGTGTATATCAGTATGTAGTGTCTCTACTTTAAAGAGTCCTCTCCTGCTGATGTTCAGGTGTATATCAGTATGTAGTGTCTCTACTTTAAAGAGTCCTCTCCTGCTGATGTTCAGGTGTATATCAGTATGTAGTGTCTCTACTTTAAAGAGTCCTCTCCTGCTGATGTTCAGGTGTATATCAGTATGTAGTGTCTCTACTTTAAAGAGTCCTCTCCTGCTGATGTTCAGGTGTATATCAGTATGTAGTGTCTCTACTGGGACATGTCTCCATGCTTTAATGTTCAAACTGTACTGCCTGTGCTGCAGCACCTCTTTTCACCCTCTGTCTGAAACCAGAGCCCAGTCTGCTCTGATTGGTTAGCTGGCTGGCTCTGTTGTGATTGGTCCACCTCTTAGAAATATCCCGCCCCTTAATCTATCATGGACAATGTGTTGGAGCGCTAGCCAATATAATTACGAGTGCATAGTGTGTCTTGGAAATAAAGAAAGGAGTCCGATGGAGGCGTTTCAGGGTTAGGGTGTGGGGGGGAGAGAAATCTGAATTTGGTCATTTTAGCCTTTACATGCACATAAACCCATACAACACACAATGTAGGTGCCATAATGCTACTTAGCCCAAGTTCATTATTTGTATTATTATTTGTTTACGTCACTTTTATTTGTTTGTTGAGCACTTCCGGTAATTGTCACATGGGTGTGGTTTGTCTATTTAAGTCACCTGTTTCATGTCGAGTGCGGATGACAGAGGGTGAGCTTGTGCTGTCATTTTTTCTGTTGACCGTTTTGTCCATGTTATGATTTTGTTTATTAAATATCCCAAAAACTATCTTGCTTCACTATGGACTTTCTCTTCGAAAACGCGTCACAGTTTATAGCCAAGTTTAGCCTCTCGGCGACTCAAACGCAACTGGGGATTGAGCCGCCACAATAAGTCAACAGAAAAAACGGTGATTCGCATCAGAGACTGAACTGGACGGACCGGCCGGCTTTCTAAGCTTACGGATCGCTTGGACGCTTCGGATAACGGACTTAACATTCTGTACCTTTGGAACCTTCGGACCGTTTTTCCCTAATCGATATGGATTGGAGTAGCCACGAGGACTTACTGATGGACACTCATTGACTGCAGCGCACAACAAGCTGAAAGCGGTAGGCACGATTATATCCTTTCTTGTGTATTTTTGCTGGACACAGTTTGGGAAGCGTGACCGTTTGTCCATTGGGGACTTTGGCTTTTGTTGTGCGCTTGTTGTGCCGTGAGCGGCGGAAGTTTTCGAATTGTTTGTTTTGCTGGGGCGGGCGTGCCCCGCTAGTTTAAGTTTCATACCAGTGAACACTGTCGTGTTACTTTAAATGCTAAGGCACCACACATATTGCATCAAATATGAGTGACACAAACGATGGAATGGAAAAAAGGACTGTCAAGCTTACTAGTAAAGCCTTGGCTTGCAAAATCGAACAACTGCAAAAAGAATGTCAGTCAAACGTGCAGAAGATTAAAGGACGCACACAGGAAATCAAACATCTAATGAAAAATGATGAAAATGCAAAGGATGTTAAACTCAAACTGGACAAATTAATTCATCAATATGAAAATGCAAAAACAGCACATGAATCAGTTATTATGTTGCTTTCCGAAGACGACCTGGAAATACAAAATAACTGGTTTCAACAAATAACAAAACATAACAATGATGTTATGGAGGATGTACAACAATGGCTCTTGGAAACTGGGAGGAGGCCCTTTCTGCAAACAGGTCATGTGACTGCCAATGAACCAATCGCTGCAAACACAGATATTCCTCTCATTCTACCAGACGAGGCACCTGCCAATGTAAAGGAGCAATTTGAACACACTGAGGCTCAGCAGGACGTTCTCTTTCCCCCGTCAAACATGAAGGCTACATCATGCACACAAGATGATATACAACCTGGTGACAGCATATCAAACATTGGTATCACAAAAAGCAGGCAAAGCTCAAGATCAAGAGTTTCCAGCACCGCATCTGCACACATAAAAGCTGAGGCAGAAGTGGCAGCCATGAAAGTACTCCAAAAACTCCTAAAGGACAAACATGTCCTGGAAGCACAGGAGCAGGAATTGAGGAGGAAAAAGGAGCAAATGGAATTAGAAGGAAACATTGCTGCCACCATTGCAAAAATGAAAGTGTTAGCAGCCCCCAGGGGATCAGCTAATTGTTCTATATCATCCAATGGCATGCAGTCATATTTTGAAATGGGACAAAGGGAAATACAGTTTGTAACATTAAAACAACCAATCGTAACCACCACAGACAGAGCTGTCACTAACATTGATACAGCTCCCCTAACACCCAATGCAGGCATCAGGAATCTAGATGAACATCTACGTGTAACATCTCCAGATCCAGTAACAGCCACAAGCAACAGTGACAAGTGCAATATATTTTCAGTCATGGAAAAACAAAATGAAATAACCGCTTTATTAATCCAGCAACAGTGTCTATCATCCATGCCCAAGAAAGACATTCCAGTGTTTAATGGTGACCCACTTCAGTACCAAACATTTGTGAGATCTTTCGAATTCAATATTGAAAGCAAAAACAATAACCCCAGAGACTGCCTCTACTACCTGGAGCAATATACAACAGGACTGCCCAGAGACCTTGTACGGAGTTGCCAACATATGGCCTCAGACAGTGGATTCAGCAAGGCCACATGGTTACTACAACAGAACTTTGGCAATGAACATAAAAATTGCTACAGATCCCATATTTGGGGACATTAAAGACCCCCCTCCCGTAAGCAAAGACATAAGAAGGCCACAGCCTCATCCAAGTGGAAGCATCTTTGCAACCAACGTGAAGGTTACAGAAAATAAATATGACAGAAGCACTGTAGAAAACTGCTTGTATTGTAGATGTGAACATGCTCTGGAGATGTGTCCACAGTTAGGAAGGAGGACACATCATGAAAAAAATCACATTTCTTAAAGAAAATGGTATTTGTTTTGGCTGCCTGTGTAAAGGACACATAAGTAGAGACTGCAGGAAACGAATGAGGTGCAACATATGCAATCTAAATCATCCCAGAATGTTGCACATCTACCAACAAAGGAAGGAAATGGAAAACGAGCAGGAGGAAATGGAAGAAGCATCTGCAAACACTGCTGAAGCCTCAATTCAGACAGGTGGCCTTACTGGGGCCGGTGAAGATGGTTGCAAACTCTCCATAGTAAAGCCCAAAAGGGGAACACAACAGTGCATACCTATGCATTTCTTGACCCAGGCAGCACTGCTTCGTTTTGCACATTAGGCCTTATGAACAAACTTAACCTCCAAGGAAGAAGGTCAAACATTCTGCTGAGAACTATGGGTCAAAGGAAGGTCGTTGAAACCAGCATTGTGTCAGGCCTAGAGGTTGCTGGACTGCATAACAGCAACTTTTGTGATCTCCCCGGCATATACACTCAGAAGACTATGCCCGTGCACAAAGGAAACATTCCACGTCAAACCGACATCAATCAATGGTTGCATTTGAGGGATGTTTGTCTACCTGAAATTGACGCTGAAATTGAGTTGCTGATTGGTTCAGATGTTCCAAAAGCCCTTGAACCAATTGATGTAATCAGGAGTGTGGGGGATGGACCTTATGCCGTAAAAACCATGCTCGGATGGACAGTTAGTGGACCATTAGGAGGATGTCCTGATGATACTCGGGACAAAACTTCATTAAGTGTAAACATGGCCGAAGCGCTGGTCTTATCTGCTTTCAGCGGAGAGGAGATGGACACTGAAAAGGCAGAAAAGAAGGGTGATAGGAAAGAGAAAGGGGCCCAGAAGAGCAAGAGAATTATCCGTGCTCCCATTGACAGTGAAGACAGTGAGCCTGAGCAAGAGAAAGGTGGAGAAATAGAGGAGGAACAAAATAATGAGGTGAGGAAGGAAGCTAAATCTATGAAGGAACATAAGAAGAGAAGGAAGAGGGAAGCTAAAAAGAGAGGGTAGCTTGAAAAACAAATTGCCAGTCAACAGCTGAAGGTACACGGATTAATGAGCCAAATGTCAAACCTGAAATGTGAACTTTCACAAGAAGAAGAAGCGTATAAGGCTCTTGAAATCCAGATGAACACTCAAAAAGCACCAGGAATGGAAGCAGAAAAACATGTTGTCAAAGAGGAACTACAAGATATTCAATTGCAAGCGAAACCAACGAGGAAGAAGAATAAGACAAGTTTACACTTCCGGCTGCCATCTTAGTTTGGAACAAGTCAAATTGAGAGACGTTTGAAACTCCTCCTTTTCTCTCTTTTCCAGCTTAATGAAATGTTGGTGTGAATATGGAAATAGTATCAATATATAGAAGCCAACGATTAAAGAGTCTCAAAAGCCACAGAGGAAAAGAGGATTGAGATCCCTCGGATGGAGAACATGGTGGAAAACAAGAAGAAAAGGGACTCGTACGTATGCTTCGGATCAAGACCAAGACTGGTTTCCTGAGCAGACCAATTAACGAAGCCTTCTTCAGGAGGCAGAGGACTTTTTCCAAGTCTAAATGGACTATTTTTTGTCTTTTTTATTTTATTTTTTGTCTCCTGCCCCCTGCACACACACAAACGACACTAAGCATTTTTACTGATACTGATTAGTGAGTAAAGATCACTTTTCCAAGAAGACTGCAATATATGAACTCTGAACAAAAAGAATTCAAGAAAGAGATCTGGACGTATATTGTGTGTATTGTCATTTATTATAGTGTAATTATAATTTTGTGAAATGATAATTAGGGGCCGGTATTGTAGGTGCCATAATGCTACTTAGCCCAAGTTCATTATTTGTATTATTATTATTTGTTTACGTCACTTTTATTTGTTTATTGAGCACTTCCGGTAATTGTCACATGGGTGTGGTTTGTGTATATAGGTCACCTGTTTCAAGTGCGGATGACAGAGGGTGAGCTTGTGCTGTCATTTTTTCTGTTGACCGTTTTGTCCATAGTTACTATGTTATGATTTTGTTTATTAAATATCCCAAAAACTATCTTGCTTCACTATGGACTTTCTCTTCGAAAACGCGTCACAGTTTATAGCCAAGTTTAGCCTCTCGGCGACTCAAACGCAACTGGGGATTGAGCCGCCACAGGGCCCCTTTAAGCTGTTACTGTTGTGCTGTATGACAATAACGTTTTTGAATCTTGAATGTCTTGTTAACTTCCTACTTTTCCCTGCCTTGTCTCTGTGTTCGCGTGTGTGTGTGTGTGTGTGTGTGTGTGTGTGTGTGTGTGTGTGTGTGTGTGTGTGTGTGTGTGTGTGTGTGTGTGTGTGTGTGTGTGTGTGTGTGTGTGTGTGTGTGTGTGTGTGTGTTTCTGCTGAGTCATTTCCTCCAATCCAGTGTCCACATGGAGCTCCAGGCACACCTCCTCCTAGACTGTAAAACATGTCCTTTATGTAAGCAGCGTTTGAAGCACGTTACCAGCTGCAGACATATGAATTAAATCATATTATATTTTATTTAATGTTTATGATACATGTTTGTGCATGTTCTTGCTGTGGCAGTGACAGTAGGAATTGTAACTGGTGCTGATGCAGGTTGCAGCATTTTAAACAAACAAAAACAAATATAAAAACACGATACGCTAATAAATTATCCACTGGGCATAAATAAAGAATATCTAATTCTGATTAAAGGTGAGGAATGAGGAAAGGTTGGCAGTGCACACTGTAAAAAATGTGGTTAAAAAAAAGCAGAGTTTGTGTTTCTAATTTAAGAACATCTGGAAAGAGTTTCAAGTAAAAAAAGACATGAAGTTCCAACAGGGCAGAAACAAAATGAGCTGAGACTGAAACCTTTCTGACCTTAACTTTATAATTGTAATAATTTGTTATGTCACCTCAACATCTTCATCAAATCCTCCTCTTCACCAGCTGAGACTGAGACACTCTTTCTCAACATCGAGCAGAGAGACGCCCGACTTGTTTTTAGTTTTGTTTTCTGTCTCACCGCCCACACATTTTATGTTTGTGTCTTTGTGTCTTTGTGTGTATGTGTGTGTGTCTGTGTGTGTGTGTGTGTGTGTACATTAGCAGGGTGTGGTGGTGTAACTGAGGGGGAGGACAGGGGTTATTGAGGGCTAGACTGAGCCTGTTTGTTTCTCTGGAAAAGTACATAAGAGGACCAGTCGTTCTGTGTGTGTGTGTGTGTGTGTGTGTGTGTGTGTGTGTGTGTGTGTGTGTGTGTGTGTG